GTTGTTTGAACTGAACCAATACAGTGAGAGTTGACGTGAAGTGTTTGGGCTACAGTGAGAGTTGTGGGGGGGGTTGAAGTGTTTGGGCTACAGTGAGAGTTGTGGGGGTTGAAGTGTTTGGGCTACAGTGAGAGTTGTGGGGGGTTGAAGTGTTTGGGCTACAGTGGGGGTTGAAGTGTTTGGGCTACAGTGAGAGTTGTGGGGGTTGAAGTGTTTGGGCTACAGTGAGAGTTGTGGGGGGTTGATGTGTTTGGGCTACAGTGAGAGTTGTGGGGGTTGAAGTGTTTGGGCTACAGTGAGAGTTGTGGGGGTTGAAGTGTTTGGGCTACAGTGAGAGTTGTGGGGGTTGAAGTGTTTGGGCTACAGTGAGAGTTGTGGGGGTTGAAGTGTTTGGGCTACAGTGAGAGTTGTGGGGGTTGAAGTGTTTGAACTATAGTGAGAGTTGTGGGGGGTTGAAGTGTTTGAACTATAGTGAGAGTTGTGGGGGTTGAAGTGTTTGAACTATAGTGAGAGTTGTGGGGGGTTGAAGTGTTTGGACTATAGTGAGAGTTGTGGGGGGTTGAAGTGTTTGAACTATAGTGAGAGTTGTGGGGGTTGAAGTGTTTGAACTATAGTGAGAGTTGTGGGGGGTTGAAGTGTTTGAACTATAGTGAGAGTTGTGGGGGGTTGAAGTGTTTGAACTATAGTGAGAGTTGTGGGGGGTTGAAGTGTTTGAACTATAGTGAGAGTTGTGGGGGTTGAAGTGTTTGAACTATAGTGAGAGTTGTGGGGGTTGAAGTGTTTGGGCTATAGTGAGAGTTGTGGGGATTGAAGTGTTTGGGCTACAGTGAGAGTTGTGGGGGTTGAAGTGTTTGAACTATAGTGAGAGTTGTTGAGATTAAAACATATGTTTCCACAGACGTGCACAGTAGCTGCTAAGTTTGCATCAATATAAGTAACACCTCATAGTTTATACTATTCATTTATACAACATGAAGTAATAAAAATAACAAAAACAAAGCTATGTGTAACATTATTCAATTTGAAACCAGGTTTTTGACATTTTTGTAATATAAATGTTAAGGCAGGTTGCATTTCAGAGTAAAATGTCAAGCAGTTCTTATGTTCTGTTTTGTGTCCCATAACATATTAGACAAGCAGCAAATATATTAAAAATCTTATTCTATGGGAGATATGAAGTAATAAGTCAATGTAAGTAAGTGTGGAAGTAGTGTGAACTCTTGGCATGCTGTTTTCACTTGTTACTGCTGTTACTTAAACTTAGCTCTGAGTTCAAGCCCGGCTTGTCTCGTCATAACTTTATATAAAAAGACTGTTGCTTGGAGCAGCTCGCAGGCTCATTACATCCTGGTTGGGCTGGCACCTCCTACACGAACTTGTCTAAACTGGCTTCAATTTGTTTCAATAAGAGAGTAATCATACTAACGTGATGTATCGATAAGAAAATCCGTAAGAACCGCGATGAGAATTCAAACCTATGTGGTGGGTATTCCCACGCATGCGCTCTAGACAACTGTGTCATGACAGTCATAGAGCCCAGTAGGCTCAGGAATCTGTACACCAGTTGATTGACAGTTGAGAGGCGGGACCAAAGAGCCAAAGCTCAACCCCCGCAAGCACAATTAGGTGAGTAGTGAAGGTGACAGTTGACAACTATGTCAACGACATAACCATGTCATTGCATAATTGTCTAGGGTGTGCGCGTGTGGGAATATCCACCGCATAGGTTCAAATCCTAATCATGGCTCCTATGGATTCTCTCACTTCTACTTGTGTTCCCAAGATATTTCTAACATTTGATGGGGGTGGAGGCTACAGCACCATGGATCTTTGATGTTCAAGTGTTCTCTGACTGTGCCTATGGCACCTTACTCTTTACTAGGTCTGTTTTGCTTTGCCCTGCCATATCTTTCACTTTAGTTAAATATTTTGTGATGCATATTTGGGGGCCTGGCATTCATGTATCTCTCGGGTATATATTATGTGATATTTCTTTTGTAACCTTTCCAAAGAGTAGATTTTGAATGTTTTGGGATGGTCCTCTTTGGTGTGTTACTGCTGTCCTCTGATGTGTTCTGCTGCCCTCTGATGTGTTACTGCTGCCCTCTGATGTGTTCTACTGCCCTCTGATGTGTTCTGCTGCCCTCTGATGTGTTACTGCTGCCCTCTGATGTGTTCTGCTGCCCTCTGATGTGTTACTGCTGCCCTCTGATGTGTTCTGCTGCCCTCTGATGTGTTACTGCTGCCCTCTGATGTGTTCTGCTGCCCTCTGATGTGTTCTGCTGCCCTCTGATGTGTTACTGCTGCCCTCTGATGTGTTCTGCTGCCCTCTGATGTGTTCTGCTGCCCTCTGATGTGTTACTGCTGCCCTCTGATGTGTTCTGCTGCCCTCTGATGTGTTACTGCTGCCCTCTGATGTGTTCTGCTGCCCTCTGATGTGTTACTGCTGCCCTCTGATGTGTTCTGCTGCCCTCTGATGTGTTACTGCTGCCCTCTGATGTGTTCTGCTGCCCTCTGATGTGTTCTGCTGCCCTCTGATGTGTTCTGCTGCCCTCTGATGTGTTACTGCTGCCCTCTGATGTGTTCTGCTGCCCTCTGATGTGTTCTGCTGCCCTCTGATGTGTTCTGCTGCCCTCTGATGTGTTCTGCTGCCCTCTGATGTGTTACTGCTGCCCTCTGATGTGTTCTACTGCCCTCTGATGTGTTCTGCTGCCCTCTGATGTGTTACTGCTGCCCTCTGATGTGTTCTGCTGCCCTCTGGTGTGGTCATGGTTGTGTATCCTTTACATACAGTTCTCCTCATTGGTACAAGGCTATTCAGCACTATATCACATAAATGATCATAATAAGGAAAAACTTGAAGGTTTTATATATAGTTTATACATTGTATGTACACAAAGATGACAAAGAATATGTGTGATGGTAGGGAAGAATCTCTTTACATTCTAAAGTACCTCATTAAGTATAGGTCACCTGAATAATGATGTGTGCCCTAAGCCCAACAGGAAGCCTGTAAGTAAAAATAAATTGAACTACTGTATTATCTATTGGTGTAAAGTGACATTCATCGAGCATAGGACTGAGGACCAGTTGTGGGGTGTGACATTGTCACTACCTGATCACTCTACAATGTTTACATGTTCTTATCACACTGTCGTGCACTATGCGTCCATCTTGCCACACTGCCTGTGTCAGTGTAGTGTCCCTGCGCGCGCTACAACTCTTCAAGCTTGGCCTTCAACTACAAATAGTTTTTTCTTTTGGCTGTTTTGACAAGAATTGCTCTTAGCTATAATTTAACTTTATATCTTGATAAAATAATAATCTGCTTACTATAAGAAAAAATGACCTACTTTAAGGCAATTAGGCACAATAAAGTCCATAAAGGCACCAGTACAATTACACTTATGGATGTAGAAGCACAAGTTTCCTTTGATATGATCAACTGCTACTAAAGTGATGTAAATTGTATAAAATGTTTATCATTGCTCATAAAATATCAACCATTCCTGCTGCAAGAGACCTAGGCCTATACTGCTCTACTATTGTTTGAGCACAGCTGCTGCAAGTGGCCTAGGCCTATACTACTCTATTATTGTTTCAGTACAGCTGCTGCAAGTGGCCTATACTGCTCTACCAATATGTTTGATCACAGCTGCTGCAAGTGGCCTAGGCCTATACTACTCTATTATTGTTTCAGTACAGCTGCTGCAAGAGGCCTATACTGCTCTACCAATATGTTTGAGCACAAGTGCTAATCACAATAAATGTTATTCACCAGAAATTCAAAAGCAGAATTGGCAGCTACAAACCTTAAATCAGTTTTATAAAAAAAAATCCTGCTTACTGTATAGTTTTTTTTTTACATCAATTATAAATCCACTTTATAAATCCACATTGAGAGTATTTTATCATTTGTTTAAAAACAATTGTTCTACATAATATACAAAATAAGGGTCCTTCATATACAAATTATCACCAGTTTTTTTTTTTTGGGAGTAACATTCTTATTTCCTAGTTACAAAACACAGAGTACCTGACTAACACGATATTGTATAATGTACCTTGATCTTGTAACTTATTGTTTGTCCCCGAGTGCTGCATATTGTCATTGTCCCAGAGTGCCATTATGGCCACATGTCCCAAAGTGCCATAATGGCCACATGTCCCAGAGTGCCATGTTTGGCCACATATCCCAGAGTGCCATGTATGGTCACATGTCCCAGAGTGCCATGTTTGGCCACATGTCCCAGAGTGTCATGTTTGGCCACTGTATGTCCCAGAGTGCCATGTATGGTCACATGTCCCAGAGTGCCATGTATGGCCACTGTATGTCCCAAAGTGCCATATGTGGCTACTATATTCCAGACATGTACAGTATATCATAATTCAGTGATAGTCTGTAACAATTCAGAACTGCAATATAATTGTTATTTGTGTATATACAGTAAAAAGATATTAAATATCTTAGTTTTCCTCTATGAACGTTATTGTCCTGTGTCTCTCCAAGTGCAATATAAGGTACAACTGTTTAAGCCTTTAGGCTGTGTGTATAATTTCTTGTTTTGCCATTTAAATGGTGTATCCTTTTCTTGATTTTGAGATAGGTATATAAGCAACACATCTTGCAGTTACCCTATTAATGCAACATTTGATATGCTGAATAAAGCATCAACTATTGTATTTTTACGACTTTAAATTTCCTGCAAATTTATTTAGGTAATGTCTTTCTTAGTGTCAATATTATGCCAAATATGTGGGAACTTCCTTTCTAATTAGCAGAAACTATCAGCTTCAGCATGTATCGCTGGGTCGGTAAGGGAGCCACATTCAGGACGGGCATGCCACCCCGGATGGTCACGACGCCCTACACTTCTTCTTCTGGGCACGCGTCGCGGTGATCCAGATGGAGCAGACGAGTCATCACTAGTATCACCGTGGAGCTGAGTGGGTCGCAGCGGGATGGCTGCTGGACCCCAAGGGATGCCAAGGTGTTCTGGAGATGGTGCATCTCGTCTAGGTGAGTGAGAATTGTGGTATGATGGCAGCTTAGATGTAACGTTCAAGACTGTAGTGTGAGAATTACGCAAACCTTCTCGAAATTGTCGAGGCACACTGCGTGCTGTTAAACTGTGAACCTGTAGAATGTGAAAATGCATTATTTGCTGAACTGTAGTATACAAAATACAATGCAAGTGTAAATACTACATTCTGTAAATATATGCTTTGTATCTGATAAAGTTTTAATTCTATTTAAAAACAAAAATTATACAAACAAAACATTGTCAAACAATTTATACTAATTTGAAAAGTCAAGTTAAAAATATTAGTTTTTTCATGAGACAATGTGTAACTCACAGAAATTTACATGTTGACTGAAAATTTCTTCCGACACCATCTTCCATTATTTATGAATTTAAGCTGCATGGAAAGGAAAGACATACCACATATAAAAGCACACGAAGATGTAAAAAATAAGGAAAATATTTTGACATTGCTAAAAGTGGCATGAAAATGAATGAGAGAACTTGTGTGGGCACTATGGTAGTTGTTGTCATCAATTTAGGGGCGGTGATGCAGCCTGTTCTCCTAAGGTTTCCCAATGTCAAGAAAATGGTCAATCTAACCACTGCACTGCGCCTAACAATAATAATCACACAATAATAATAACAATAACAACAAATGTCATTTTGAGAGTTGCACGTTTTTTTTTTACTTAGGCTATATTTTCATGTTTTTTAATGTTTCTATCACTCTTTGTGTTTTGAAATGAAAATAGTTCACATTGTTCGCATCACATTGATTTGGTAACTAAATTCAGTTTAAAGTTGAATTTGGAAACATTTTGACACTAACTTTACCTGATCATTTATAAAATCAAGAAAAATATGTCCTTTACAATTACACTATGAAGTTTTTGCCAAAAACAGGTGTGCAGTTCAGGGGTTGAAGTGTCCTCTCCCAACCTGCCAGAGGACCCAAAACAGAAAACGGGACAGTACGTCATTTTCGCGAGCGTCTTCCATTTTCTAGCAAGACAATTTTTTACCTTATGTAATGCATACGAGCAAAAAGCATGTATGGTTGGATGGAGGACAGGTTGGACGATGGTCTGTGGCTTGGATGCACCCAAGCTATATCATTTGCGTGCTGTCTTTGTCACATACAACTCCCGTACTATATAGTCTGGACAACTCTACTTTTGTGTATTCTAACTTTAAAGGGTACAAGAACAGGAACTAAACTTTCTAACACTTGATTACAGGTTAACAGCTTTTCCTTCTCACTCTCCTACTCTGTCCTCTTGCGATCACACTCCCACCACCCCTGTCCTCCTGTGATCACACTCCCACCACCCCTGTCCTCCTGTGATCACACTCCCACCACCCTCTCCTCCTGTGATCACTCTCCCACCACCCTGTCCTCCTGTGATCACTCTCCCACCACCCTGTCCTCCTGTGATCACACTCCCACCACCCTTGTCCTCCTGTGATCACACTCCCACCACCCTCTCCTCCTGTGATCACTCTCCCACCACCCTGTCCTCCTGTGATCACACTCCCACCACCCCTCTCCTCCTGTGATCACACTCCCACCACCCTGTCCTCCTGTGATCACACTCCCACCACCCTCTCCTCCTGTGATCACTCTCCCACCACCCTCTCCTCCTGTGATCACTCTCCTACTCTGTCCTCCTGTGATCACACTCCCACCACCCTCTCCTCCTGTGATCACTCTCCCACCACCCTCTCCTCCTGTGATCACACTCCCACCACCCTTGTCCTCCTGTGATCACACTCCCACCACCCTCTCCTCCTGTGATCACACTCCCACCACCCTCTCCTCCTGTGATCACACTCCCACCACCCTGTCCTCCTGTGATCACACTCCTACCACCCTGTCCTCCTGTGATCACACTCCACCACCCCTGTCCTCCTGTGATCACACTCCCACCACCCTTGTCCTCCTGTGATCACACTCCCACCACCCTCTCCTCCTGTGATCACTCTCCCACCACCCCTGTCCTCCTGTGATCACACTCCCACCACCCTCCCCTCCTGTGATCACACTCCCACCACCCTTGTCCTCCTGTGATCACACTCCCACCACCCTGTCCTCCTGTGATCACTCTCCCACCACCCCTGTCCTCCTGTGATCACTCTCCCACCACCCCTGTCCTCCTGTGATCACACTCCCACCACCCTTGTCCTCCTGTGATCACACTCCCACCACCCTTGTCCTCCTGTGATCACACTCCCACCACCCTTGTCCTCCTGTGATCACACTCCCACCACCCTGTCCTCCTGTGATCACACTCCCACCACCCTGTCCTCCTGTGATCACACTCCCACCACCCTCTCCTGTGATCACTCTCCCACCACCCTTGTCCTCCTGTGATCACACTCCCACCACCCTGTCCTCCTGTGATCACACTCCCACCACCCTGTCCTCCTGTGATCACACTCCAACACCCTGTCCTCCTGTGATCACACTCCCACCACCCCTGTCCTCCTGTGATCACACTCCACCACCCCTGTCCTCCTGTGATCACACTCCCACCACCCCTGTCCTCCTGTGATCACACTCCCACCACCCCTGTCCTCCTGTGATCACACTCCCACCACCCCTGTCCTCCTGTGATCACACTCCCACCACCCTTGTCCTCCTGTGATCACACTCCCACCACCCTGTCCTCCTGTGATCACACTCCACCACCCTGTCCTCCTGTGATCACACTCCACCACCCCTGTCCTCCTGTGATCACACTCCCACCACCCTTGTCCTCCTGTGATCACACTCCCACCACCCTCTCCTCCTGTGATCACTCTCCCACCACCCTTGTCCTCCTGTGATCACACTCCCACCACCCTCTCCTCCTGTGATCACACTCCACCACCCTGTCCTCCTGTGATCACACTCCACCACCCTGTCCTCCTGTGATCACACTCCCACCACCCTGTCCTCCTGTGATCACACTCCCACCACCCTCTCCTCCTGTGATCACACTCCACCACCCTGTCCTCCTGTGATCACACTCCCACCACCCTTGTCCTACTGTGATCACTCTCCCACCACCCTGTCCTCCTGTGATCACACTCCCACCACCCTGTCCTCCTGTGATCACACTCCCACCACCCTCTCCTCCTGTGATCACACTCCCACCACCCCTGTCCTCCTGTGATCACACTCCCACCACCCTCTCCTCCTGTGATCACTCTCCCACCACCCTGTCCTCCTGTGATCACACTCCAACACCCTGTCCTCCTGTGATCACACTCCCACCACCCTGTCTTCCTGTGATCACACTCCAACACCCTGTCCCATGGTGTCCTGGTCACGGGTGACGACGGTGACCTACACCAGGCAACCTACTCTGACTTTCATTAAATGCATCACATTGATTTGGTAATTAAATTCAGTTTAAAGTTAGAAATAATAATGTTGTGATTTAAACTTCTGTCCAATTTGTCAAAAATAATGTTAATTATATAGATAAGTGTCAAGAAGTGGTCATAAAAATGTACACAATAGAAAAATATAAGTCATGATGTTGCAATTTTATATAAAATTATGATTATGTAAACTATGCGTTAGAAATGAGTTTTTAACATTACAGTACTGATAAATGTCGCTTCAAAATGTACATTATACTGTACAGTATACAAATATATCAATAACCCGTTACATTATCAGTGTGACTTTCTTAGGTTATTAATATACTGTAATTTTACGTAAACTAATTCGACTATAAATGTATAAACATTTATGGATGAAGACTTTGAATTTGAATACCAATCCCTAGCAAAATTGTTCCTAACTATGCAATATTATACAGTTAATGGCAATGTGAAAAAAAAAAAAAAAAAAATGTGAGAGAAGACCATAACGAAGGCAGAGTTTAGGCAGGTACGCAGGTTATAAGTCACACAAGTCAGTCATGTAAGCTGAACATAATACTGTCCCAAGACATTGCCATGCATCAGTTGTACAGTATATTATACAAATAATGATACAGTGTCATTTAAAGAATGTAAACACAAGAGAACGTCATGGGAACATTACGTGACAGAATTACGAGTGCACTGTACTTGAAAAGTAGAGCTCAAGTTAATTAACACCGTACCATGTAAATTCTTCTCCCAAGAGTCATTCAAAAGAGAGAACACAACATAAACAGTCCCATTATACTGTACAGGCAACAAGAGGTACAGGAAGAAGCCAGACTTGCATGTACAACAAAAGATCTGCATCAAGACATCATACAAGAAAGTCTCTAGCCAGTTACTTTCCAACAGTAAATACCACTATAATTATCAATCAGCATTTGGTAATCAACAGATCAAATTGAAGGCATTCTGTCAGACATCCCAGCTCTATTACAAGAGCCAAGCAATCCAGTCATTTTTATATTTACACACACAATATACTAGAGGCTGTATTATGTAGAAATACTGAATTCTGATACTGTACTATACTGTATATGCTTGTAAGCAAGTTAAATGAAACCTAAACTTAATTTTAATAATCATATATGCAAATATATTTTGTTTAATACAGTAAGATGTAATTTAATTGCAGAGGATAGGTATACAGTACAGTATACTTGTATGAGGTATCAATGTAATAGGATTTTTTTAATTACTGTATTTGTAAATTTCTCTCAAATAACATAGAGGAGAATGATATTTTCTCTTCTATCTCAACCACTTTTTCACTCAGTCTATCTCATACTCGTTCATTCCTTCTTTAGTTCACACACACTCCTCACACGCCCACCCATGAGTTCACGCATACTCACTCTCTAGTTCACACACACTCCTCACACGCCCACCCATGAAGTATCTCATACTCGTTCATTCCTTCTCTAGTTCACACACACTCCTCACACGCCCACCCATGAAGTATCTCATACTCGTTCATTCCTTCTCTAGTTCACACACACTCCTCACACGCCCACCCATGAAGTATCTCATACTCGTTCATTCCTTCTCTAGTTCACACACACTCCTCACACGTTCATACACAGTTCACACACACTCCTCACACGCCCACCCATGAAATATCTCATACTCGTTCATTCCTTCTCTAGTTCACACACACTCTCCTCATGCTCTCACCCATGAAATATCTCATAGTCAATCATTCCTTCTCCAGTTCACACACTCTCCATAGGAACACAAAGAACTTTGTGCGAGGAGCATATGCAACGCTTTCCAGCTTCAGACTCGCTTTTAACTACATGGATGATGACATACTAAAGAAACTATTCATGACTTTTGTGAAACCAAAATTGGAATATGCAGCAGCTATATGGTACCCGTATCTCAAGAAGCACATCAATAAACTGGAAAAGGTTCAAAGGCATGCTTCAAAATGGCTTCCTGAACTGAAAAACAAGAGTTACATGGAGAGGCTAGTGGCATTAAATATGCTAAAGCTAGAAAATAGAAGAAAAAGAGGTGATATGATCATTACTTATAAAATAATAACAGTTATTGACCTAATTGACAGAGGAATTCCCAAAACCAGCAACTTCAAGAACAAGAGGACACAGATTCAAACAAGGGAACAAAGGTGTCAAGAAAATGTTAGAAAGTTTTCTTTGAAAACAGTGGTAGGCGGGTTGAACAAGTTAGGTGAGAAGGGGGTGGAGGTTAGGTGAGAAGGTGGTGGAGACCAAAACAATCAGTAGTTCTAAAGCATTATATGACAAAAAGTACTGGGTAGATGGGACACCATGAGAGTAGCTTTTATCCTAACTACACTTAGGTAATTACACACACACACAAACTCTCACTCTCTTTTTCACTATATTGGGCAAGTACTGTATATTGTGATGCTGTGGAGTAAATCAAGATGAACAAAAAGTCCAGAGACGAGTCTGAAAGAAACAAAAGAACAAGCCAACAGAAAGCAAATCCCACAATGATAAGATCCAAGATAATACCTCATTCATTGTGAACCCATTTTGATTCATGCACTTGTGCGCATTAGTTGCACTCTACCATGGGTTCATGTCCTTCGCAGGCGATGTCCAAACTACTGGTCGATTTTGACTTTGTGGAAGTGGTTGAGGGAGTCATTTCCATATCACTCAATTGTGAGTGCACACCTTCATCATATGAGTCTCTAGGACCAAGTTTGTTTGGTTGGCTGTCTTCAGTAATACATCTTTCAAATTCTAATTTTCCAATGATAGATTTTGATCTTATTGGGGAAAACGGCGAGTTCACTGGAACTGATGCATTTCTGATATCTAGCTTTTTGCGTGGTTTGAATTTGTTGCTGTTGCCAACACGAGAGTTGTGTACTATTAACCTGGTGAGAGCAACTGGATCATCAAACAGGATTTCATCATCACTTGAATTTTCAGCTGAAGAAGAAATAACATTGGATTTTTGCGACGGAGAGAAGCTGTCGGCTGCTTTGCTAACAGAGATTATGGTTACATGTGAGCCTGTGGTGCTTAAATCATTATCTTTCTTAATATTAATATGAACATCATTATCTTGTACTTCTGCAAGTGAAGAACTGATTATTGTATCAACATTTACCGAACTCTTTCCAAGATAAGCTGACTGTGGTGATTGTGGGACAGGTTTCTTCTCTGTCCTTGAGTGACTTATTGTTATGCTATCAACATTGTCTTCAGAAGGTGGAAGCTTACTGTGTGTACTGAGAACACTGACATTACCATTGACATCTTCACTGACACTGGAGGTTTTACCTGAGGCACTACTTAGAGCTGAACCTTCAATATGGTTATCTTTGACATTGTCTCCTACATACACAATACTTGCATGGTATACTGCTGTGGCAGGATCAGATAGTGGTGCCTCTTCACCTGATAATCTGATGACAGTACACTCGTTTGTGGTATTGGGACAGTTTTCTTCAGGGTACTTATTTTTCAGAGTTTGAATCTGATCACCTAGATCCCCTGTCGCTTCTTCACGGTTGTAACTTTCAACATTCATATTACCTTTATTAAGGTCAGTTGACAATTTTATAGGGAAGCCTGCTACATTGTGAGCATTGGCTTTAGTAGAGGAAACTGCTATATTGTGAACATTGTGAGGGAAGCACATTGTGAGCATTGGCTTTAGTAGGGGACACTGCTATATTGTGAACACTGGCTGTGGTAGGGGAGACTACTGCATTGTGAGCACTGGCCATGGACTTTACGACCTTCGGAGCCTGGGTTTGCAAGTTCATTTCATTGTCTGAAATTGTTATGATTGTTTTGTTTGATTCTGTTGCCACATTACTAGATATCCTTGTCTTGCTAAATGCTGACTTTTCATCTAGGGAACTTATGTTAGTATACTCTCTTAACAAGTCTCCAATACTTCGATGTTTCTGTAAGGAATTAACACTTGTTGTGCTAATTATGGGTTTCTTCTCACTACCTTTGTTGAGCATGATAGGTGAATCGCTGACACTTGGTAACTTATCATTTGATTCAGTCGGTGCTGGAATATCTTTGGTCACTTGACATTGAAAAGCTGAAACAGATGCTTCATTTAATTCTATCATAAATTGATCATCCTCTGTAAAATTTGTCAGTGTACCTGTGTTTGTGCCATCTGAGGTATGTGAGGATGAATCATCATCAGTGATATCTGATATGTGGGATATTTTATCAGATGGATCATCAGACAACTTTTTAGTTTCACTGTCATCAACTACCACTGGACTGAAAGAAACTGGTATAGCTATCTGGTCATTTCTTGATGTTTGTTCAATATTTTCTGCATTTTCTAAATCAGTGCACAAGAGTGGTTGTGGGGAGAGATTATTTACTGATGGTATGTTTATGTTGGTTTGCTTATGCCTGACTCTATCACCACTGTTGTCTTGCTGCCCCATACTACCAACTGCAACCCTATCAGTGCTTTGTAATGATCCCTCACATTTCGATATCTTAAATGTATCTTTCTTATTAAAAGAATCTTTTGGGTGGTCCGAATATCTCTGCTGCTTACGAGCATCTCTAGATCTTCGGCCATCTGTATCATCCTCGGTTTTTTCTTCTATTCGTTTCAAATCAAGTAATGATTTATGTCCTGTGTAGCTGTTCAAGAAGTCACTCATTGTTCTTTTTCCCTTTGGTGCAAATGCTGAGCCAGACAATATGGAGACATTTGGCATTCCTACCTGCTTGTTCATCCCTTGGATTTTTGTTGGATTTTTAGCATCTCGCGTATTCACCTGAGCAAGTTCTACACGTGTCTTGACTTCTGCCGACTTTGAAACTGAAGATAAATCCAGTGAGCTATGGAACTGTTTCTGATGTCGTAATTTATCCGATTCCTTATAAGATAGATCAAACATGCTTCCATGATGTGTTTTTGTAACTGATGATTGTCTTAGCATTTTAGGTGCATCAGGATCACTGTCATATTGTATCACTTTTGTCTCCAGATGACCTTTGCTGGTACTCCATGAGTGTCTACTTTTATGGCTGACCTGTTCAAAACCTGCTCCCTGTAGTTCCTCTGCTGAAGAAAAGCTGGAAAGTGATGTTTGTTTTCTGCTACTATAACTGTCAGAAGAATTAATGCTCGTCCTACGGAGAGTAACTCCAAAAATTGTTCTATCACTAAATTGGTTATATGAAGCAGTCATATTTGAGTCCCTACTGTCCACTGAAAAGCAGGAGTCGGTGTCTATTAGGCTGGGCGTACTTAAGCTGCGTTTATCACTAAGCGAGCCAGGAGTTGGTGGTAGACTAACACTGGTAACTGTAGCCTCGTCGTCAAATTCAGTGCTGTCTACATCGCTATTAAACATATCAGTCTCTGTTGCTGGATGGGAATCTTCCCCACTAGGCAAAGACCTTACCTCTTTAACAACATATGGCTTCTCTGTCTGCTTATTAAGGTTGTTAGTGAGGTTGCGTCTGTGTACTTGGTCGCCTGGGCTCCACTTTTCAGCCAAGATGTTCTTATTCCCATAGGATGAGAGAGACTTCTGTTAATAAAGCACAGATTAGTTTTTAGAACTTAAAATATACAGTAGGCTACAGTATGTTACTTTTCAGAATGTAAAATACACAGTACAATAGGCTACTATGTTAATTCAGTCAGTAATTGATAAATTCAAGAAATATTGATAACAATTAGAATACTGCATATTTATTTATTATTTATGGAAAAACAGTTAAGCAAGTGGTATATCTAAAGAGAACACACAATGAAATCATAATACACTGTGACAGATCTATCTATACTGTGGTCTAATGAATGATGCGTATGTCTCGGGTGACTCACGACACATGATCTACTGCAAAGATTTTTTCTCCTATAGAGACCAGTTGTACCTGTACCGAGACCAGGGGTGGGGGGAGAAAAAATGGTATTTACCTAAGTGTAGTTACAGGATGATAGCTACACTTATGATGTCCCATATTCCCAGTACTGTACTTTTGTTATATAACACTTTGTAACTACTGACGGTTTTGGCCTCCACCACCTTCTCACCTAACTTGTTCCAATCGTCTACCACTCTGCAAAAGTGAATTTTCTTAAATTTCTTTGACAGCTTTGTGTAGTTAGTTTAAATCCATGACCGATTTAAATTTGAAACGATATAACAAGTGCTTGAAGTTCCAGGTCTCAGGAATTCTTCCCTATCAATTTTATCGATGCCCGTTACTATTTTGTATGTAGTGATTATATCCCCTCTTTTTCGTCTATCTTCTAGCTATGGCATATTTAATGCCTCTAACCTCTCCTCGTAGCTCTTGTCCTTCAGTTCTGGGAGCCATTTAACTGCATGTCTTTGCACCTTTTCCAGTTTGTTGATGTGCTTCTTAAGATATGGGCACCACACAACCACTGCATATTCAAGCTTTGGTCTAACAAAAGTAGTGAACAATTTCTTTAGTATTTCACCATCCATTTATTTAAAAGCAATTCTGTAGTTAGAAAGTGCAGTATAGGCTCCTCATAGGTTGTGCGGGGTTATGTTCTATTCCACAGTCCATAACATGGCATTTATTCACATTATATTCCGTCTGCCAAGTGGTGCTCCATATACTTATTTTGTCCAGGTCTTCTTGAAGGGCATGACAATCATCTAAGTTTCTTATTTTTCCTATTATTGTAGCATCATGTTCATATAATTCATATAATTAATATAATAGCAACCATGTTCATATAATTCTGTATTCCATCTGGTAGAAAGGTTTATGTAGACAATGACCATTACCGGTGCAAGAACTGAATCCTGTGGTACTCCACTCACGAGATTTCTCCAGTCCGATACATTGTCTCTGATTACTGCTCCCATTTTTCTGTCGGTTAGAAAATTTTTCAGCCATGTTAGAAGCCTACCAAAAACTCTTCCAATATGTTCCAGTTTCCAGAACAACATCTTATGTGGAACGCTGTCAAAAACCTTTTTTAGGTCCAGACAGATGCAGTCAACCCAACCATCTCTTTCCCGTAGAATCTGTGGCTTGATCATAGAAATAGAGTAATTTTTTTTTTTTTGAGATATATACAAGAGTTGTTACATTCTTGTACAGCCACTAGTACGCGTAGTGTTTCGGGCAGGTCCCTGGAATACGATCCCCGCCGCGAAGAATCATTTTTACAACCAAGTACTCATTTTACTGTTGAGTTAAATAGAGGCTAGAGTTAAGGATTTGCGCCCAGTAAATCCTTCCAGCCAAGATACGAACCCTTGACAAAGTGCTCGCGGAACGCCAGGCGAGTGTCTTACCACTACACCACGGAAACATTTGTTACACAGGATCTTCCAGATCGAAAACCATACTGTTTATCTGTCAAGTTGTTTTTCTCCAGGTGTTCTACCCATTTAGTTGTAATTATTTTTCCAATATTTTTACTATTACACTTGTCAATGATACTGGTCTGTAATTGAGGGGAGAGGTCTTCCCTGCGGCCACATTTGTAGATTGGAACTATGTTAGCTTTTTTTCACACATCAGCTACAACTCCTGTACACAGGGATGCCTGAAAAATCAGTTGAAGTGGAATGCTGAGCTCAGGTGCACATTCTCTCAGAACCCATGGTGAAACTCCATCTGGGCCAACTGCTTTGTTCTTACTTAGCTCCTTGAGCATTTGTTCCACTTCGTCTCTAGACACCTCTATGTGCTCTATGTTGTTCTCTGGTATTCTTATTGTGTATGATTCTCTGAAGATTTCATTTTGTACAAACACACTTTGGAACTGTTCGTTAATGTTTCACACATTTCCTTTTCATTTTCCATGAATATGTTTCACATTTTCAACCTCTGAATGTTATCCTTTACCTGGAATTTGCTGTTGATGAATTCATAGAATATGCCTGGTTCTGTTTTACATTTGTATGCTATCCCTTTCTCAAAATGTCTCTCTGACACTCTCCTCACTGCTGTGAGTTGTTTCTCGCATCTTTGTATCACTGGTATGTTTGGGGGTTTGGCCTCTTCCTATATTCGAAGAGGCTATACAGATATACATATATATCTGTTGTGGTCTCACTGTGACAGGAAGCCAGTGGCTGGCCAAAGGAGCCTGTTTATAATGGCCTAATTAAACCTAACAGAGATGCACAAAACTAATAGCATATGAAGGAATTTCACAAGTTATATTTTATTTATAACAATTTACAAAGTGGTAATCCAATACTAAAATTTATTTTGAGTCTGGTAAATGGTGACAGTGTTTAATGAATGCAGATTATAAGCAAAATGTTACCTTCAATAATGTCTGAATTTGTTATTTCTTCACATTGTCATGATCTCTTTGTTCTATGTTATACCAACTATAGAAAAGAATTATGGGTTAAATTGGTCCTTAAAGCATTATTGTGGTAGTGTAGACATTATGGTTTGGGACATATACAGATATCCGTGGGTCTACTGTACTATTATGAAGTGGGCTTAATAAAAATTCAAATGAATACTTACATCCCTTCCACGTTTGTCTAAATCATTCACTCTCTCCTGGCTGGCGAGATCAAACTTGGAGGCTAGTTTTCTAACAGAGGGCAGAGCAGGTACGTCATCTAGTGTGCGTGTGGAAACATCGCTCTCCATTCCTTCACCATGACTTTCACCATCACTGTACGTACTCACACTCTCTACTGATCTTCCAAATTTTGAATGATGAAGGTAATTACCTCGTTTACCTAGGCCAGTTAGACTGTTTATGTTAACATTGCTCATACTGCTCATGGAATTCATGCTTCTCGAGCTGTGTTGGGGAGCTGACCCCAGGTTATGTAGGTTGGAGACTTTGGCCATAGGCTGCAGGTTATCAGCACTTGTGTGCCTCAAGAATGGTTGAAGAAAGGGTCTTTCTCTGGGCTGAGCTGCGATGGTGTCCTCACTCACTGTCCGCCATAAGTCATGACGACGAGGAACCAAGTATACATCTGAAAGTGATCATTTTTGTAACAAATTTGTAGTTCATAAAAATATTGTTGATGGAAATGCGACATACAATATGTGATTCAGCAAAATGACTGTGTACAAATATGTTCCATAAAAACGGTCCATAAGATGGAGGAAACCCCTTGAAATTACAAGTGATAATGGGTAAAATAATATTGTTGCTAATTTTACATTCTTGCAAAGCCACTAACATGCATAGTGTTTCTGGCAAATCTTAAAACTATTAAATTAATTATGGTACAGGCACACCAAGAATTTGCAATGAGGTTTATTAGAGTAGAATTTTAGTTTCTGCTAATATCTTTTGATCAGAATAACGTACCAACACGTGGGTTGTGGAGAACTTCTGTGGAGCTGTCAGACTGTGCGTTGGCATGGACACTTCGAGGAATATGACGTGCGTAATTTTCCTCCCACCTCCGTTGAGTTTCATCAATTGTTCTTTGAAATCTGGCTACCTCCCGTTCTACACGTGCAGCCTGCAAGAATTTATTTGCATAATATTCAGTGTAGCACTGTTATTATAAACAAAAAGGTCACAGAGAACACTATTCAAAGGTCTATTCAAAGGTATTCAGGAACATGAATGTCAAAGGTCCATAGCTATTCAGTGTCCCCCAATAAATATAAGAAATCTTACCAGAACAAAAGTGGATGTGTGCAAGAAACAATTAGACAAATTCCTACAGGAATTGCCAGACCAACTGGGCTACAGTAAATATGTGGGCCCGTGGGGCTACTCCAAGTAACAACCTATTAGATCAAGTTATCACATGATAAGCCTGGCTCCAGGCCACGCTTGGGAAGTTGAAGAGCTCCCAGAATCCACTAAAGGTATACTGCATCAGTATGTAGTTTATACATGACTTGTGATTTAACAATGCTCCAGTGAAAGGTGGAGCATGGTGGTAGTTAACTCATTGTACCTGAATATCCCTAAGCTCATTCTTCCAGTCACTGGGATGGGACGACTCCACTTCCAAACTTCTTAGTTGGTGTAAAGTTGCCTCACTGCTGCTTTTATTGGCTTTCTGTAGTCCACCATCAATTATGTGTATTGGATCCTGTTGCATTAAGTAACATCAGTTATTTATGTTAAGCAAGAATGTGTGAAGAACACGGCATCAATATGAAAAAAATGATAATATTTACCAAAAGAGAAGCTTCTCAATATTTAAAATAAGAACATTAATATAAATGGTGAAGACTCGGTGATGGCATCAACATACAGTCACTATTGCTCCACATGTGTTAGTAGTGACTGGTGATGGCATCCACATGCAGTCACTATTACTCCACATGTGTTAGTAGTGACTGGTGATGGCATCCACATGCAGTCACTATTACTCCACATGTGTTAGTAGTGACTGGTGATGGCATCCACATGCAGTCACTATTGCTCCACATGTGTTAGTAGTGACTGGTGATGGCATCCACATGCAGTCACTATTGCCCCACATGTGTTAGTAGTGACTGGTGATGGCATCCACATGCAGTCACTATTGCCCCACATGTGTTAGTAGTGACTGGTGATGGCATCCACATGCAGTCACTATTGCTCCACATGTGTTAGTAGTGACTGGTGATGGCATCCACATGCAGTCACTATTGCTCCACATGTGTTAGTAGTGACTGGTGATGGCATCCACATGCAGTCACTATTGCCCCACATGTGTTAGTAGTGACTGGTGATGGCATCAACAGTCACCATCACTCCCACATACTGTAGTAGTGACTGGTGATGGCATCAACAGTCACCATCACCCCCACATACTGTAGTAGTGACTGGTGATGGCATCAACAGTCACCATCACCCCCACATACTGTAGTAGTGACTGGTGATGGCATCAACAGTCACCATCACTCCACATACTGTAGTAGTGACTGGTGATGGCATCAACAGTCACCATCACCCCACATACTGTAGTAGTGACTGGTGATGGCATCAACAGTCACCATCACCCCCACATACTGTAGTAGTGACTGGTGATAGCATCAACAGTCACCATCACCCCACATACTGTAGTAGTGACTGGTGATGGCATCAACAGTCACCATCACCCCCACATACTGTAGTAGTGACTGGTGATGGCATCAACAGTCACCATCACCCCCACATACTGTAGTAGTGACTGGTGATGGCATCAACAGTCACCATCACTCCACATACTGTAGTAGTGACTGGTGATGGCATCAACAGTCACCATCACCCCACATACTGTAGTAGTGACTGGTGATGGCATCAACAGTCACCATCACCCCCACATACTGTAGTAGTGACTGGTGATGGCATCAACAGTCACCATCACCCCACATACTGTAGTAGTGACTGGTGATGGCATCAACAGTCACCATCACTCTACATACTGTAGTAGTGACTGGTGATGGCATCAACAGTCACCATTACTCCACATACTGTAGTAGTGACTGGTGATGGCATCAACAGTCACCATCACCCCCACATACTGTAGTAGTGACTGGTGATGGCATCAACAGTCACCATCACCCCACATACTGTAGTAGTGACTGGTGATGGCATCAACAGTCACCATCACCCCACATACTGTAGTAGTGACTGGTGATGGCATCAACAGTCACCATCACCCCACATACTGTAGTAGTGACTGGTGATGGCATCAACAGTCACCATCACCCCCACATACTGTAGTAGTGACTGGTGATGGCATCAACAGTCACCATCACTCCCACATACTGTAGTAGTGACTGGTGATGGCATCAATAGTCACCATCACCCCCACATACTGTAGTAGTGACTGGTGATGGCATCAACAGTCACCATCACTCCCACATACTGTAGTAGTGACTGGTGATGGCATCAATAGTCACCATCACCCCCACATACTGTAGTAGTGACTGGTGATGGCATCAACAGTCACTATCACTCCACATACAGGGGGTTTCTGCCATACAAACATTTATCCATACGAACATTCTTTCAGGTCCCCCTCTACCCCCCTTCATGCATAAAATCATTGGATAAACTAGCTGGCGTGTCCCTTTGAATTTCACGGCAGCGTGCTAAAATGTCTGTGCGGCAGCCACATGGTGAAGTACAGTACAGTATTGTATTGTACAAAAGGGTGGTTGGGTACTGTCAAGTTGTACACAAGACTTTTCGACAGCTTATTTTCCAATTGTTAAAACTATATATATCGTTTGGTTAGGATGTATTAGCTTTGATTATGCCATGTTAACCTCACTTGGGTTAGATTAGGTTTGCCTGGGTAAGATTTGCTTGGCTGAGTTAGATTGGGTAGGCTTTAAAATATGTTGGCAAACTGTTGGGTTGTATGATGTAAGATGTATCTGTGGAGACCCATGCTGCCTCTGTCAACATTTTCTTGTGGCCAGAGAAACCAGTGCTATGCTTTATTTGTACTTTATTGAGGAAAATATCATTACTATGGTCGATAGGAAGATTAAGAGTGTTGACAATGCACCAGTGCTAAGGAAAAGGCAACCCAATACCCTAGAGATGAGGTTAGTCAAGAGACTGGCAGAGGCATTTATGCTGATAGATGATGGTTTGGCAATTATGGAAGAACAAGTTAACAATGCTGAGAGAGATCAAAACACCTCAAAAATTATATTTAATGGTGTTGCACCATACAAGTAAATTTACCTGGAAGATACTTGTAATTAACTAAGTGTAGTTAAAGGATAAGAGTTACGCTCATGGTGTCTCGTCTTCTCAGTACTCTTTGTCGTATAACACTTTGAAACTACTTTTTTTTTTTTATTTAATTATGCATATACAAAAATGTACATAAGGAATGTGAGGATACAAATATGGTAATTACAGTCTTGTAAAGCCACTAGCACGCGCAGCGTTTCGGGCAGGTCCTTAATCTAAGAAAATTTTAAGGAGGTAAATACTTGCAAAAATTATAGACAAAAAAATGATAACAGATTACATGAAATGAAAAAAGATGAGAGAAAATTGTAGGTACAGTATATTAAAGCACATAGGTAGCTGAGATTGATTGCAATGACAGCTTGAATGGTAGTTGACAAAAAATTGGTAGGCACAATACAGCAGAAACAATATAAGATTGGTTGCAATGACAGCTTGAATAGTAGTTGACAAAAATTGGTAGTCACAATACAGCATATGGCTAGCACATAGAAGAAGACAGCAATGAACACAATGATAAGGTTGTTTGATGGTTTTGGCCTCTACCACCTTCTCACTTAACTTGTTCAACCATCTACCACTCTGTTTGCAAAGAGTGCAAAGTACTTTGAGAAAATATTTCCCGACAAAATATCCAAACCCAGCAATTACCTCTCAAAAAGTTGCTGTCAATTGCTGATCCAAAACTAGTGACTTCTACAGCAGCTAGTGACACCGAAGATGACCCACAGATGTTTGCCACCAACGATCATCTCTTATATCAAACATAGCCAGTAAGACCAGCCACCCTCCACCGATGCTGCATCCCCTCCCTCCACCTCCCACACACTGCCAACATCTCCTATCTCCTCCATCAACTAGATCTTTTCACTCCTCCATCAACTAGATCTTTTCACTCCTCCATCAACTAGATCTTTTCACTCCTCCATCAACTAGATCTTTTCACTCCTCCATCAACTAGATCTTTTCACTCCTCCATCAACTAGATCTTTTCACACCTCCATCAACTAGATCTTTTCACTCCTCCATCAACTAGATCTTTTCACTCCTCCATCAACTAGATCTTTTCACTCCTCCATCAACTAGATCTTTTCACTCCTCCATCAACTAGATCTTTTCACTCCTCAAGAACAGATAACTTTGACAAGCAGGACAACTCCATCATTCAAGGTAAATAATATGTAATGTTTTTATATTACATGTCTGAAAACGTTTGGTTTTGTGAGGATTTTTTGTGTCCCAGGAATGCCTCTCTCATTTACAGCATTGCACCTACGGAAAATCTCCCTTTGTGTCCCAAACAATTGCTTTACAAACACATTCTCAGAACGTAACTCGTTCGTAGTGAGGCAACTGTCTGTAGGTGATAGTGCAAACTCGGTCACCATCACCAAGCTTTATTCCCAGATATTGTAGAATGAATTGGATGACAAAGCCCAGGATGACACCTGGTGGGTGTCATCCAAGGGTTACCGCCTGGTGGGTGTCATCCATGGGTTACCGCCTGGTGGGTGTCATCCAAGGGTTACTGCCTGGTGGATGTCATCCAAGGGTTACCGCCTGGTGGGTGTCATCCATGGGTTACCGCCTCGTGGGTGTCATCCAAGGGTTACCGCCTGGTGGGTGTCATCCAAGGGTTACTGCCTGGTGGGTGTCATCCAAGGGTTACTGCCTGGTGGGTGTCATCCAAGGGTCACTGCCTGGTGGGTGTCATCCAAGGGTCACTGCCTGGTGGGTGTCATCCAAGGGTCACTGCCTGGTGGGTGTCGTCCAAGGGTCACTGCCTGGTGGGTGTCGTCCAAGGGTCACTGCCTGGTGGGTGTCATCCAAGGGTCACTGCCTGGTGGGTGTCATCCAAGGGTCACTGCCTGGTGGGTGTCATCCAAGGGTCACTGTCATCCAAGGGTGCCTGGTGGGTGTCATCCAAGGGTCACTGCCTGGTGGGTGTGGGTCATCCAAGGGTCACTGCCTGGTGGGTGTCATCCAAGGGTCACTGCCTGGTGGGTGTCATCCAAGGGTCACTGCCTGGTGGGTGTCATCCAAGGGTTACCTGGTGGGTGTCATCCAAGGGTTACTGTCTGGTGGGTGTCATCCAAGGGTTACCGCCTGGTGGGTGTCATCCAAGGGTTACTGCCTGGTGGGTGTCATCCAAGGGTCACTGCCTGGTGGGTGTCATCCAAGGGTTACTGTCTGGTGGGTGTCATCCAAGGGTTACTGCCTGGTGGGTGTCATCCAAGGGTTACTGCCTGGTGGGTGTCATCCAAGGGTTACTGTCTGGTGGGTGTCATCCAAGGGTTACCGCCTGGTGGGTGTCATCCAAGGGTTACTGCCTGGTGGGTGTCATCCATGGGTTACTGCCTGGTGGGTGTCATCCAAGGGTTACTGCCTGGTGGGTGTCATCCAAGGGTG